AACTGGGATGCGGAGGTCTGAACATGTAAGACCAGTTCTGGGCTGCCTGTATGCTTCCAGTCCCAATTCCAGGTGGTGATCTTAACCTATAAAGCCCTCCACAGCCCGGGGCCATAATACCTGTCAGAGTGCCTCTCTTAACCCCTGCCTACCCAGACACTGTGCTCAGCCTCTGCGGCCTTCCTCCAAGTGCCAACCCCTCAAGAGGCTGGGAAGGTGGCAACTAGGGGCAGAGCCTTCTCTGTGGTGACCCCTCACCTTTGAAACAACCTCCCCACTATGGCCCACCTGGTTTAAATCTGTCATCTTTTTGGCACCAAGTAAAGACAGACCTCTTTGCAGAAGCCTTTAAAGACCTCCCTGGTCGTTCAGGAGCCTGACATGAGTATCCAGCTGCCTTTCTTTTATGCTTGGCTGGGTCTTTTTACTGTCTCGTATTGTTTTTAATGTATTTTATGTTACTTTAAATTATTAAAGACTCTGAAAAAGGCAGATAGAAGGAGGATGGGTGCTTCCAAATTGTGGTGCTGAAGATGACTGTTGCACATCCCACGATCTGCAAAAATCACACACAAAGAAGTCCTAGACTGAGCCTCATCAAAAACATCACTTGAAGCCAAGATCACCAAACAAAGACTGCCATACTTTGGCCATGTCACGAGAGCTCACTCACTTGAAAAGTCATTCATGCTGGGAGCGATCAGCAGAAAAAGGAGAAGGGGCCGCCCCAGCACCCGTTGGTTGGACACCATAAAGAAAGACACTGGGATGGACATGGTAGTCTTTGAAGGAAGCAGTGTGAGACAGAGGGGCATGGAGAGCAATGATCCATAGAGTGGCCAATGGTGGGACACAACTGAATGGTTGACGATGGCAACAATTTTTTCTTCTTTATTGTAAACTGCCCTGAGAGCTTTGGTGACAGTATAGAAAACAAACAAAAAACCCCCCAAAGCCATTAGTGACACTTCCCCATGAGAACCCAGGGCCAGAAGCAACTACAAAGAAGCTTTGCATGCGAAGGGTAGATGCAGGGGATAACAGAGCCGATCTCCCTCTTTCTGGGGGGAATCACAGCTGTCCAGCTGAGTCCACTGGCAGCAGAATCAGCTACTTCTTGAAGGCTAGTTCACACAGGCAAGCACATCACGCTTTTTCTCATCATCTGCAGCTCAATGTGTGAACTGACTTCAATGAAAAGTGTTGCACATTTGAAGCAATGTGAGAAGTTCTGAGAATCCTAGCTGTGCCGTTCTATTTGAGATGTCCTATATATACATGTAAACTCTGATATTGCAGTTATGGAGTGATGGCAATGAAGCTGTGAACTGGCTTTTAGTGTCTGCCACCCCTAGCCGCCTTTTCAAAGCCCAGTTTATAAGCATCTTTGTACCACTGGGTTGTGTGTGTGTGTGTGTGCGCGTGTGTGCGCGCACACGTGAGAGAGAGAGAGAGAGAGAGAGAGAGAGAGAGAGAGAGAGAGAGAGAGTTTTGTTCTCCACTGTGCAATGCACCATCAGCAGCACCCATTTCTGCCTGAGTCTTCCATACACAGCACAAAAAGTTAGCAGCGAGAGTGTCTGCTCCCACCCTAACACATTCGTCTTGACACTTGCACTCCCTTTCCCGGGAGCAGCAAATTGCTGCTGATGTTCCAACCTTCCTTAGCACGGTTTGCACCAGATAATCATGTACGTTTCACCTCTTGGCTGTCAGGACTCATAAAAGGAAAACTAACAAGTTCACCAAGAAATGCAAGGGAATGCAAAAACAATGGAGAACACGCACCAGCGTTAACTACAAGAGCCAGGGGGCAGCCAGATGTTTTGTCCTCCTGTCACATTGCGAACTGAGATACGACTGCCAGACACAGGAAAGGAAGAAAATGCTAACCTTTCCCCTGAAGAATTTAAAGCCAGGACCTCATGCAACCCACACAGAAGCCACATGCCTATACTACATTCAAATAAGTCATTGCATTCTTTGGCCAGAATTTAATTAAGAAAGTTATGCAAATATATATAAGTCATAGCATTTGGGGTCCTGATGCTTCTGCTGAAACTGGACACTGGGCACTGGAATAAATTAAACAGAGGAATTGACTAGAATTTTGGAAAGCGCATACTTCCTGGAAAAGAAATCTGGCTTCGGTACTTTACAGAGTGATAGTAAACCTGTGGCGGCGCATAACCACAAATCCTTCCTTTTGGGGCAGCTCCACTGACAGCATAGCAACCAAGGGTGGGGGAGATTTTGACTCTTCCTGCAGGAAGGGAGGATGAATCCCCAAGCCTGGGCTGGCCAACTGGCAGCCCTGCGTTGCCCCATCAAGAGGAAGCTCGTGTGGGTACACAACCTTAAGTCGGCTACCATGGCCCATCCAACTAACACATCCAACCAGCTGGGTTCAGTTTCTTGGTTATCTCACGGAAAGGATTTTGGAGGGGTCACTGTAAGCACTGTAAGAGTGCTGGGAAGAACACATTTTTTCTTTATACTTCCAGCCCACCTTTCCCTCCAGGACATCAAGGTAGCACACATTGTTGCCTTCCTCATAAAAGGCGAGGAGGAAGGTCAGTCTGAGAAGCAGCAACTGAGCCACAGTCCCCCAGTGAGAGCTTCATGGTGGAGGCGGGATTAGAGCTGTAGCCCAGCACTGGCCACCACACCACAGTGGCTAAGCCCCTCATGGCCTCATTGGGCCCCACCTGGCAGGCTCAGTGCTTGCTGGCCGGGGAATGAGAGGAGCACGGTGGCTGTGGGGGCCAACAGGGCATCATGCTCCTTGAGAAGAGCGTACCTTGCACAGCCCATGGCTTGCCAGTGCTGGGGTGAGGAGTTTCCTCAAGTCTTGGAAGACTCACTGGCCCTGCCCCCAGGCCTCCCCCCCTCCCCATTTGCAGCAATTACTGGTCCATTGCTGTGAGCGTGACTAGACAGGCACATGGGTCTGATCAAGCACATCTCTTCTTATACTCTTATGGCAGGTTCATGATGTGCCAGTAATGTCCTTCCAAAGGCTGCATCACTCCTTGTTCTACCCAAGGTCCTGTCTGAAGGCTCAGTGGCCATAATTAAGCACTCCACACTCTTGAGCGCTACTGGGATGAGTGACTTATCTTTTCTGCTGAAGTTTCTATTAGCTACTTCACCAGATGGCCTTGGTCCTAACCATTCTGCAGATATAATACACAGCAAGTAGAAAATATTTGCAAGGAAAATTCTAGAAAGCGAATAAAATGCAATTACGTGAAAAGCTAAAAATGGATTGCGAGCTTCACTGGATGCAAGGCCCTTCTCCTGCCCTTTAAATGTTATAAAAGGAACTGCTTCGCAGATTTGCTGCGTTCCAGGACCTTAGCGTGCCATAGTAAATTAAGAGAGGCACCAAAGGAATTATGTTTTGCCGATTCTCTGTTTTCAGGAAGCCACTTGCAACAGTGCAGCCCATGGTACGGTTTAAGACTGGAAGAGAACATTGTGTCCAAGTGGGGGATATGACAGCAGCCCGCTGGAAGGGAAGAGGCTCCCCTAGTGGTTATATGGAGAGCTGATGAAATTCAGGAGGACAGCTATATGTCCCAAAGGCACCAGAGAGGAATGCTGAGGTGCAAAGGCCAAATCCCCTTCTGCCTATAACTGTTTTATGAATGTTGTGCCAGAAAGTATGAGAGAAAGGACTGCAAACGGAATCCCAGTCCAGCCTGGTATATCCCTTTGTCTCAAAGGAAGCACTTTCCACTTCTCCCCATGTGCTGACATCTTCCCATGTGTTTCACCCCCCCCCCCCAGCCCCGGCTCCACAACATTAAGAATGCAAGCAGAGCAGAAACATGTGCACCAGAAACTGGAGCTGAGGCTGGGGACATTGGCATGGGTCTCTCTCTTATGACATTTCACTTGGCTTCTCCTAACATTGACTTTGGCAGCGAGCTTTGTTTTGCTGTGCTTTGCTTTGTTTTTAGAAGGGCCGTGAGGGAGCGTGCCATCCAGACTGAATCAGCAAACTCTAAGGACCAATCAGCACACTCCTGCTGTGATCCTGTTTGCTCTTTCTTGTTCTTAACCCTCATCAAGTGCAATCCCCATCATTTAGAATAATTGCTTTTTGTAGCTCAGTTGGAGCTGTAAGTAGTGCTGAGCCAAAGGCAGGAGTGGAACGAAATCTTTGTGAAGACTTTAATCAAAGGAGATCAGTGCGGAAGACTAAGGTGATTTCCCACTTAAAAAGTATTGCGTTGAATAAGCTTCACCTGCTCTCACACTTCTGATTGGCTATGATAACCCATGTGACCTGCCACAGGAAGCACTGTTTCCTCATGGCAAGCAATTTTTTCTTGTGCTCAGCAGTTAAGAAGTATCATTGTATCACCATTTTTATAGTGTGGCGCTCTGAAGAAGTGGTGGTGGAGAACCTAAATCAGGGGAAATGTTGTGCAGATGTGACAACATGCTAGGGGAAACAGAGGCAGGGAACATGCATGAAAAAGGCAGTGAAGAGACTTTGTTCTGGGAAATGATTCAGGCCCCTGAAATCATAACTTTAAGCACAGCCCTAGTCATGATGACATTATTTCAGAATCTGCTGTGGGACTGAGAAAGGAAACATCAGTAGCAGCACTAAACACATCACAGCTCTCTGTACCTTTTCATAGGGGGCAGGTTAAGTGCAAAAACAAATTAAGACCATTCTGCCAATTTGTGTGAGTTGAATGAAAAGGTTGTGAGGAGGTATGTGGATAATGTCATTATACAGTTCAGTCACTAGGTGGCACTGCACCTGAAGTCTGATGCTTCCTGCTCCTGTTTTATTTTGTAGGAGAGAAATAGTAAAATTCTTGCCTATCTTTCCTTTATGCCTTCAGTGACAGGAAGGATTGAGTGCATCTAACTAACTCTGTGAGTCAAGTACTGTACTTATGAAAGGAAAAGACAATGGACCCAAAATTTCTTTCCCAGCCAGAATCATTTTTCAATTCTTGTTTCATCAGCAAACCCACCTCTGGAGCTCTTTCAAAGAGACTGTGATTTTCAGGCTATGGCCCAGAATGAAAAGGACAGCTAAAATATCTGCCCATTGGACCATCTCCCCAAGTGGGCCCCCCTTTAACACACGGGGGCTGAAAACATCTCCAGATTCTTCTGTCAAGAAGCCAATGTGGATCAATATCTAGACAAGGAAAGAGAGAGGGGGCAAATGAGCTCTTAACATGAAGTATAGAAGAAGATCAAGCTGTTACGAAGATAAAACACACTTACATAGCGGCCCAAACTCTCAGCCTTACCCTGATAATAGTGTACACAAGAGGCAATTTGGCTTGTAAGACATTGAATTTTTTTGTACCTGCTTCTGATCTCTCTGTTTGCCCTCCAGCTTCTGTTCCAGTTTATGTGAGGCTCTCAGCCACTGCGTGGCCAAATGCCGGATCCTTTTCTTCATGAAGATCAAAGACTCTTTGCCACTGCCAATCAGCTCCAGGAGGTAGGAGAAGTCTCTCTGAAAAGCTGCCTAGGGACAGGAAGAGGAGAATGTTCTTAATAGGCTCTTTTTAACGCAAAGCCCAGTGGCCCTCAGAGCTCTCTGGGCCTATGTAGGTCACACAGGCAGTCGGAGGTTTGTTCTCCCCGTTGCCTGGGTGGTACCTTGGACAAGACCAAAGATACCTCTGAATTGGAATCATCACATGCAAATACTGAGTGCAGAGCAGAGGTGGGCAATTGCCAAGGGCCATCTTGGAAATTAATTGTAAGTTGGAGCCCACAGCTAATCTGTATATTAAAGTAATACAGATGGGACCTGCAAAATGTTACAGCCTAGAGAAGTTCTCTTCAGAGTTCCAGGCACTCATACACTCTTCCATGATACCCCATTCAGTTCCCCTACCATTTTGTCTATTTCGCACCCTCTGCAAACTCACAGCATTTTGTGGCTGGTCCAACCCACACTGGGCTGACTGAAGGCATTGCTTCTTAAGTTTTTCTTTTCCTAAGGACTTTTTGTACTACTGCAAATCTTAGGGGTTCTCCCCTCTTCCTTCTCAGTGGATGCATTTTGGCTACAATTCTGTCAATGCTCACTAGCTGAGTTTACTGTTAAAGGGAATGATTGGTCAATATATCCAGTGGTAAACTATCTGAATGTAATATGGTATTGATTGGTATATTCAGGGCACAATCCTAGGCAAGAAGTTTTGCAACTCCCAGCATTCCCTAGCCAGCAATGCTGGTGAGGAAAATACTATGAGCTGCAGGGCTTTTTCCTGTCTAAACATGCCTAGGATCATGACCCTTTAGCACTTTTAAATATGCATAAAATATGCATGGACACACTGGCTTCTGAGTCTCAGCTGGTCAATATTTTACATTTGCCTCGGGGTGCTGCATGAGGCATACACTTTTTGGAAACAAATCTACCATAATTGCCAAATTCCATCAAAATGTCTGAGACAGGATATCTGTGGCATTCACTGAGATTATTTTTTGATATTAGCTAATTTATCTTTAATCTAAGAAGAAACTAGGGGCAGCAGACAAAGGAAGGCTGCAGTTAAGCCTGATGGTGATTATATACTGGGGGAAGGAGGTTATAGGCGGAATTTCTAAAGTGAGTGGAATGCAGTCTTTCCACAGGGGTGCATACCTCTGCTTTTGCCATGCTATGTCTGTTGTTGTTGATAGTAGAGATTATTCAAAAATCTCAGCAAAGGTTGCTTGAAAAATTGAAGGGGCTTCCTCCTCATTGCAACTTCATGCCCTCAGACAGATGGGGGGACTGCTGCCTCGAGGCAGGACACCCTGAACCCTGCCCCACTCCCAGCATTCTCCCAAACACCAAAACGCATCCACCACAACAGCAGAAGAACAGCTTGGAGAAGTCTGTGCATTATGGTGCCATGTCAACTGATTATCACCCATGTCCTTCTTAGCTCTGACTGGAGCACCCCAACATCAGAACTTGTCTCTGAGACATAACCAGGCAGAACACAAGCTCTCTCTTGCCTGTCCAAGATCCAGCCTGAAACAGTAACCTTCCCTTTACTTAGGGCACAATCCTATGCACATCTAGACTGAAAAAGTCCTACAACTCCCAACATCCCCCAGCCAAAGTTTTGGGACTTTTCCTGTCTAGTCATGCATAGGACTGCACACTTGGGGGTTTTCTGCACAGATGTTCTCTTTAATTTTTGTGGTCTATTACTTTGGTCTGAGACCGTGGGAACCCATGGATGCATGAAACAACTGGCTCTGAAAAGGCTTAGCTGGCACAACCCAAGCCCTGAAAATCTCACCTGCACCCTAGGAGGTGACTTTGTAGAAGGCGTAGCTGCTGTCTGATTCCGCCAAGACAGCACAGGACAAAACCACTCTACTTCGCTGAGGTAGATGAGGAATGAGCATTCTGTGCCATCCACACCGAAAAATGCATAGCAGGGGTCTGACGTCCACCTGGCCCTCATCCACTGCAAAGCGAAGGAGGTAACAGTCAGGACAGCCCTTAAATTTTAGCAGGCATAGCAGCTTTATAGTGGCATGAGGAACATCAAGAGATCATTGGCTTCAGAGAAGTGCCAGAAGGCTGCCGAGAAGTGAAGTCTGCTGAGAAGTCACTAACATTTCTCAGGGCTAATTCAGGCTCTTTGGATTCCCTTTGGGGGATATGATGTGCCAGCAATTTATTATTTCATAGGAAAAACGAGTCACAAAGAAAGTGTTACATGACTGGTATGGATCTTGTTTAGCAGAAGAAATTAAGAGTGAAAAGGAAGGTGATTAAAAGTGAAAAGGAAAACTTTCCCACCAGAAAACTGTACCCAAGAGAATGCCTCCCCTTTTATTAGGGGAGCAAATAATGCTCCATCCAAACTGTACAAAAAATTCTTAGTGAGCCCCTCCTCTGCCAAAGGATGAATTTCTGATAAAATTTGCTTGATAGGAAGCTAAGGGATCAAATCCCTACAGATACAGGTCAGACGTTGTATACATTCATTCACACTGGTATAGTATACAAAATTTCCCCTTTCCTATGGTAAGTAAAATGTCATGTGTGAAACAGCCCTAAGAAAATGAATAAACAAAGTTACTGCTAACCCCTTCAAAGCTTCCTATCCAGAAATCTTGCCAAAGAGTTCGGATTGGATCTATCAGTTCATGGGTATCATTGTTGTCAGTCCTCACTAGTCAGCGCAAGTTGCAGAAGAAGCAAAAAGCTTCCTAGCACTTCAGATGAACCTTGCCAGAACACTCCTCAGCTGGCTCGGAAGTGCCCAAAGTAGCAAGGGGAGAGACCTCGACTAGCCCGGGCAGTCCTTGGTTCACAGCAGGAGAGCCAGCAGTCCAACACAGAGGAAGCAGAGATCTAGCAAGGCTCCCAGAGGGTGATTTTGCATGCAAAGCAATAACGTCGGGCTTTTGCATATAGATCTATCATCCTCAGTAATTGCCGGTGGCAGCCTCTTCCAAACTTAACTACACAAACAAACCCACTCAGGAGACAGCCCTCCACTCCCAATATGTAAAACTCACCAATCATCCAGACAGACAATCGAATTACTGCCTCCAACAATTAAATTACACTTAAAATTTAACCTAGCTATGGAAGAAGATGGCAGGAAATGACCGCTGTGTAGCCAGGACAATCTGAGGAATGCAATGGTTGTATCTTGTTAATCTGGATGTTAATGTGTTTTGTCAAGTGGCTGGATCCGTGGCATGCAAGTTTACATAATGGTTGAAGTTTCTGGGGAGGGAGAAATTAATTTCTGTTCAACTCATAGTTAAACTAAACAGACACGTGCAGATACCAGTCTGAACAAAGACACCTCCAGCCAATCAAACGCCTGTGCTGTGCTTAAGCCAAGGCAATGAGCTGCGCTAAGCAAAACGTGGTACTTGAAACCAACATCAGGTTACAATGCTGAGCTTCTTCCCCAGGCCAGAGATAACCCTTCAGATTAAAAACAAGCAAGAAAATAAATCTAGAGGTGCTTCCCATGCATTGCTTGCAGATTAATAATTAACATCAATATAAATGCTACATTACTGCATTCATCAGGCAAGGCAGGGCAACATAGTCGTTAAGGCTTCGTACAAAGAAGGCAGGCATGGCTGCTCCCTCTCAATGGATATTTGCTGTTATTTTCCTTTATCGTGACCTGCTCAGTTGCTTGATCCATTTGAATAGGAAGCCAAGTAGTCTCCAGTTTCATCAATACATGTACCAACAAAAGGATTGGAGTTTACTTTGTCCGTTAACCATCTATTTCTTTGGAAATACCAAGTCATTTTACTCTCAACTGTAACTTTTTTTTTTAATGAAGAGTTTTGTAAAGTTTGTGAACAAGGTCCTTCAAGTCCCTTTGAAGCATCTTCAGCAGTGTGTTTTCAAGCATAGATGGGGTGAAATTTGCAGAGAACAGAGTTGGAGGAGGGCTATTAGTTCAGCCGTTTGGGGGATGGGAGTGAGAGAGCAAACCTAAAGTCCGCTGTGGTTATTGCCCTCCTTGGCATCTTGGCAGCTGCTGCGTGCCATTGTGTTCCCTACCCAGCAGGCCATGTGAGGGTAGGAAGTCTGTTTTCATGACTGTTTTCTGCCATGTAGCAAATAAGAATGACAGCAATGCTTTCCACACTTGCTCCGCCTGTTGGGTGTTGGGAATGGTGGCTGCTAGCAGTTGAGGGTCCAGGGGTCCCCGTAACCACCACCACCACTATCCCCAGGCCTGCAACATATGGATTAGTAGTGAAGAAAGTGAGCTAGAGGGATGTTTAGCTTAAGTAATAGCAGTAGCATATGGATCTTTAAGGGCCTGGTCCTATGCAAGTTTAGAGGGAAAAAAATTCCCAGCATGCAGCAGCCAATTCCCAGTTTCCAACCATAACTGGAACATGCTGGGAAATGTAGGACTTCTCTTCTGTCTAAACATGCATGGGATTGGGCCCTCAGGTGCCTTGCGAGGTTTACTCTCCCTACCATGTTTACAATGAGACAATAGAATATTGTAATAAAATTACACATGATTACATAATAAAATATCAAAAACAACATTAAAATAGTAAGGTACCTTTAGATCTCATCCAATTGCACCCCATTGTGAGCCTAAAGTAATTCAAAAGTGCTTCCAGCTCAGCTTTAATTTCTAGGACATAGGAAGATGAGTTAACGCATATATGATGTCATGGTCTAAGGGAAACACTTAACCCCTTAAGGGCCAAAGTACAGCCACAAGCAGCCTTCCTGATTAGGTGAATTTGCCATGTTTCCAAATAGGTTTTGAAGAAATGAAGTTATTTCATCATTGCCCACATGACTTAACTAATTACCAAAGCACCTCTGTGTTTTTAAAGTCTATAGCTGCTAGGGTGGTCTGTTATTGTGTCCTCCTTCCTCTTGTCACCCATTGTGCCTCCTAAAAAGCAGGCCAGGGGCTTCAGAGGGAAGGGGCAATCAGCAGAAATACATGCCCAGCTCCCTTCCCACAGCGGGGAACTTCTGCTGGATCCAAGTTCCTAGGAGCCCTTCCAGTTGCTGAGGAGCAAACCTGAATTCAACCCCTCATGTGAGGTTCAGATGCTCTTACCCACTTGCCATGAGTCCCTGCCTTAAATGAACTGGCACACCTTTGAGTTATCCCTCACCCTATTTAAGCACCCTGCCATGCTTCACAGCCATAGCAACTAAAGGGAGGGAGGCAACTTCAGGATCAGTTAAGCAGAACAACAGTGTTAAAAGCCCATTCTGGCTTGAGCAGGCCAAAATGAGCAGGCCTTTGGGGCACACACTTGAAGGGAAGGGAGTACGAGCTGCTCCAGTTGAAATTAAAGTGAAAACCAGGCAGTGAGATTGTGGTAATCTTTGAAACCTATACCTCACCTTATACTGTGACCCACCTCATGCCCTGCACATCCCACGGCTTTGTTACTAGCTGGGAAAAAGCGAAAACACATTGAGGGCAGACTAGTTCGGTCTACTACTGTTTTGCTTGCTGGAAAAGTGTGCACATTGAAATCATCACCCAGGAAGAGAGATAATCTTGCCTTCAGTATTTCTTCTGGTCAGAGCATGCATTTGCTTACTCACCTCCACTTTTCCAGAACAATCAGGGTACTTCGGGTCCCTGGGCACCTCACACTGGTCTCGTCTGCCTTCTGCTGCTGTTTACAAACATACAAGGAATGTAATAAGAATTAATGGTAGTTAATCCAGAATCTGGAATCTACTGTAAAAGGTGGCTTCCTTCAAAAGGAAAAGAAGAGCTCTCTCTCTCTTTCTCTTTCTCTCTCTCAGGATAAAGTTAGACCTCACATTACTGACATAAGCAAATCTGTCTGTTTGTAATAGTTTTTGTCTTCCTTGCACAACCTTTCCTACTCCTAACTTGGATTACCAGCTGATCAGGAAAAACCCACCCTGGGCCATTGTAGACTCACCCCAAACCACTGAGTTCCAGTTCTATGAACCAGCACCTGGACCCATGCTGGAAATCTCCTTTGGGCCAAGGGGTATCCATCACCAGATCTTGCCTTGGTATGAGTCTAAAACAAAAACAAGGACTGGCAGCTCCACTCCCTTGAAACAAAATGTTTTGTGATCTTGCGAGTTGTAGCCATCAGAAACTCAGCTATGGTCTCTGGGCTGGAGTATTTAAAAAAGGCAACACTATTCTTGCAGGCATGTTTCTTTTAATACATAGGTACAGCTCCACATAATTTTCATAAAGTCCCTCATGTAAGCCTCTGTCTTGTCTGTGTGATTCTCCATGCTAGTGGGGGAACTTGCACATGTATGACACTTGTAATCAGGTGTCCACACAAGAGAAGGCCTTTCCAGTTTTAGCCCCACACCCCAAGTAGAAATTACCACTGAGGGTCCACCAGGTCCCATCACTACAGGCTTTTAAGAAGGCCCTGGAAACACACCATTTTATCTTGGCCTTCCTATGATATGTTTTCTGGTTTTCTTGCTATATTTTTTCTGTTTTTACTTTGCTTTTATTACATTCTAATATCATATTAGTTTTTATGTGTTGTATTATTATATACTGCCTAGGAAGGCTTTCTGTCCTGAAAGGCAACCAAGAAATATTTTCAATAATAATAATAAAACAATATAAATGCATGCTGGTTAAGACCCATTAAAATGGGTTCAGACACTATACCCTGTGGATTAGATTACATTCAAGGGCAGCACTATTTTCTAGATGCTAAAATATTACCCTGGAGTGCCTTTGGTTTGCTCCCTTCTCTTGTCTACACCATAGATCAAACTCCTCACAAACGGATAATATTTCATGGGGGCAGCTGGAAACTTGCCAGCAAATTCTGCACACCCATTTGCAACACAAATGAAAGAAAAATGGTTGCCAAACGGTTCATCTTTATTCTCTGGTCCTCCATTTCTGCTTTTCACACCGCAGGGTATTTTAATAGCTAGAGCAGATTTTGCCTAAAGCAACTAGCTATCCCTAGAAATCATATCTAATGAGTCCTTTGTGTTGAAAGGACTAGCTGAAAGCCTTTCAAAATGCAGACATTTTCAAACTGCAGCACGATATTGTGCTAGCAGTCAGTTAATTTCAGAGCCTTCCAATGAGGCAAACAATGACAACACCTCGAGGCACAAACATCTTCCAGGAAAACTTAAAAGTGAATGCAAAAGGAAAGCAAAGAGGTTGTCTTTGAAATTGGACCCAACATACCATGCACACTGCATGGGAAAGCTCACTCATGGGTTCCACCCTTAAACTGGCTTAAAAATAATTCCAGACAAACAAACAAACATTATTTACTGTAATCTTAAAGTCATCCAGCCTTAGCTCACATCTGCACCAGCTCTGTGGCTACTTGGTTCCTAGGTGGTAACAACTATCCTAGAGAGTCCAGTCTATTTTGAAGACATGTTTCTTCCACCAGCCTCACATACTCAACAGCATCTGATCCATTCTTGGTCAAGCACAGAAGAAATCTAGCCAGGCTGCCCTGTTATCCACTAGGCCTCTCCACCAGAAGCACCATCTGCTTTGGGTCAGCCTCTGGTACACCCCTTGTGGGGCTCGGCTGGAAAGAACAAGGCCTATCGGCAAGCCCTCACCAACCTGGTAAAATTTTATATGTTTCCCCAACTGTGCAGCAGCACAACTATATTTTGAAATCTAATTAAGCAGCTCAGTGCCATAAATACTTTGTGTTTCCTTCTCATATCTTAAATTTAAAAAAGTATAAAACTTTCTGTGAAAGATCAATGACATACCCATCACAAATCATGCAAAACCTGTGCAGAAACAAACATGTCTTCAACAGGATAGCCACTGAACAATCTAATAAGCTACATGGCCTTAAAAAGAAGAAAAAGAAGAAGTCTGGGGGTGAGGTGGGGGCAGTAACTTCTAAAGGTTCTGGGCGAGAAGCTGGAGAAGGGTGGGGGCTTTGGCTTCTCTCAGTCAGAGAGATGAAGCGGGCTCCCTTACATCCCTGGATATAACTATCTAATAAAGCAGTGACAGTCTGTTCTTCAGATCAGGCATGAAGAGCAATACAACCTAATCTGATTTTCGCCATTTAAATCACAATCTTGCACTGCCAGTTCCAGTATTCGGTGGCTTGGGCAAGATCAGAGGCAGACCTGCCCTGTCAGGCTGTTGCCTTGCTTGGCAGATGCTGGGAGGTGCTCCAGGGCATCAGAGAGAGTCCTGCAGGGCATGTGGCCTCCCCTGTAAACCCCCAGTGAGCCTGCTGCCTTGGAGGAGGAAGCCACCCCATCCTCCATCTTGAAGGCAGCTTCAGCTGGCTTTGCACTTGGGGTGGGGGAAGAGGCACCCGCTTGTTCTGTGCCTTCGGGAAGAAAGGTCTTGCCCCAGCTCTGGGCAAGTTGTTCTCAGTGGCTCCCTCCTTTCCTTCCACACTGCTGCTGCTTGCCTCTCCTTCTGGGACCATGGAGGACAAACTGTGGGGAAGCACTGGCTCCTCTTTGCTTCTCTCACTGCTCACTCCCTTGGGACAGCCAAGAGAAGCCGCTGCAGAGATGGAAGTTTCCAGGGCCTGACAGTGTCCCTTCCATCCTGGATGGGGCTGTGAGCTTCAGCAGCTACTCAATGAAACAGACTCCTGATATTGGCTCCAGAACCAGGTAGGCCAGAGCAAAAGCTGGTGGAGTGCTCTGTTGCCCTGTGACACTGGCCAAGCCCAATTGTGGATCATTCTTCATTATTCATACACTGGGAGAGTTAAAAGGGAGAACCAGGAAGGGTGTTATAAACTATTTATACTGTGCTCCATTTGTTTTCATGAACAAATTGCTGAAACCTATGCAATTATTCATGCCCACAATGTTAAATAAGGTCTTTGCCACCCCTGGTTCATCTGGAGCCCTGGCTGCAGATTAAAGAGGGACGTTAAAGATGAATATTTGAACAGAAAAGGATTGTCTTTTATTGACTTTCTTGCACTTCTCCCACTGCCAGGGGGAGATGGCCATCAAAACCATTTGAAGCACTGAGCTGCAGTTGGACGAAGAACAATGACCAAGTAAGCCAATATTTAATACTTGAGGGTCACAGCATGACAGCATGGTGAGACAACCACTCATAAAATGCTCTTGCATCTGTCACATTCGTCATCATAATGAAACCCAATTGCAATTTCAAAGATTTAAGTCTATGATTCAGGAAGGCAAAGGCTTCATCTCTACACTATGATAAAGGTCTTTGAAAAACACACCAAGAGTGGTCAAGGTGCAGGGGTGTGAACCTCTAATATGGAAAAAGTAGCAAAAAGGAAGGGCCAAAGTGTTCTATGAGTAACTACATGGAGGGAAGGCATTCTGGACAATACCAGCAGGCACCTTTACATTGAGGGCTGCTCTTTGTTATGTGCCATCAAGCCATCTCTGACTTATGGGGATCCTATTTATGTATTTTTTATGGGGACCTATGAATGAGAATTCTCCAAAAAGCCTCAAGTCTGCAGCTTCCTTGATGAAGTCAACTCATCTCACAATTGGTCTTCCTCTTCTTTTGCTTTTATCTTTCCCTAGCATGATTGTCTTTTCCAGGCAGTCTTGCCTTCTCATGATGTGCCCAAGGTATGACAACCGAAGTCTGGCAGTTTTTCCTTCTAGGGAACTCTCTGGCTTGATTTGATCTAGGACCCACTTGTTTGTCTTTCTGTCAATCCGGAGCTTCTCTACATGAGACATTTATTATGCTCTAACAATTTCTGACACTCAGTAGTTTGTGGGTTTTACATGACATCTTCCATGGCCTCTTCCATACTCTGAGCATTTCTGTGGGTTTTTTTGGAAGGAGGATAATGAGCTATTAAAGGGTCAACTGTCTATAAAACACTACAAAATGGCCATGTATTTTCATGCCTTTGCTATACCACAGCACCGCCTTGTGGTTGTGCAATGGGGCAGATAGAAATGCTGAGAAGGTGAAATCCCTGGGGGAAAAGTGTGTAAAGGAGCAGATCCCAATGCCCTAGAGAACTTGGAAGTAGAGACCTCAGTAAAGTGGTGGGTTAACATGGGTGAAAGTCCTAATGTAGAGAACCCCCTAGGGCAGGGGTTGTTGTAGTAAGAGGTGCAATGTTGTTGTCTGACCACAATTTGCTTTCTTGTATCATCATATTACAAAATTTTCAGCAGAGAATGTGTGGAGTCCAAAGAGTTAAAGTCATTATATCATCATTTTATATATTTCCCTTAATGTGCATGATCCTTTGCAACAAGCATCAAAATACAGGTCCTGCCCAAAGAACGTTCAATCCAACATTCTGGCTGGCAGGGTAAACATGGAAGGATGACAGGGGCAAAGGTAAGTGGGAAATAATGTCTCCATTTATTTAAGATTAGGTTTCAGTCCTCTATCCATTTACCTGAGAATAAATACCATTGAACAGAGTGCAGCTTACTTCTGAGTAGACTATTAGCGATATCACTGTTTGTTTCAGTATGAGAGAGTAATCCAACACATCAAAAACAATAGGACTAGCAATACTGGAGTAGCCAATTTGTTTCCCTCCAAATGTTCGGGCCTAGAATTCCCATCATCCTTTACCATTGGCCAGGGCTACTAGGACTGCAGGCCAAAACATCTGGAGGCCACTGTCCACTCCTGAGCTAGACTAAGCCTCCAAGTAGTTGGTGTGGAAGCCTG